GAAGAATCCAGAGGTGACTGTTTTTCAAAATGAGCTATCACCCTCATTTAAGATGAGTTTTTCCTCTTTCTAATTAATTTTCATGTACAAATTTGTCTTAATGTGGAATGAATCACTGTTATATCTAAGTACAATTTTAACATTTCTAAATGCATTAACTTAAGTGATTTTGATGTTAAGTCATTAAATTTGAAAGCTACTACTTGGATGTAACTTGGATAATATGTTTCATATTATCCTGTTCCAGGTCATTCTTCTGGGAATTTAGTAGAAACAGAAGCTTGGTTTCTACAGTGAAACAGTGTGAATTTTACTAGACAGAATACAAAACACTTGAATCCACGTAACAATAACTCAGGATGACAGAACAGAGTTAAATCTTAAGAGTCTGTTAGAGTCTAAAGTCAGTATGTGTGGAGAAGACTGTGTAAAGTCAAAAATAATTTCAAACATATCTACCAAAATGATTTTTTTTTCTCTATCACTGGTATTTTGGCATTGGTCAGAAACCCTTTAAAAAAAAAAAAAAATGAGTACCAGATATAACACTGGGCTCACATAAAAGAACATTACTGACTCAAAAATCTGCATCTTTAAACACAGAATTGCACTGAACATGGAGAGATAATCTTATTCTGACAACATAGGAACTAAGAGGGACTGAAGTAATAACTAGGTCCCTGTGTGGTGCAGAAGGAGCTCTGGGTGGCTTAGTGTTGTTGTTGTTGTCATGTGCCGTCGACTCGGACTATACTCATAGTGACCCCTCCTTGGGTTTCCGAGGCGGTATCACTACGGAGATTGCCCAACATTCCTTCCAAGGAGTGGCTGGTGGGTTTGAACCACCATCTTTCTGGTTAGCAGTCAAGTGTCTTAAGCACTACGCTACCAGAGCTCCCGGGTGGCATAGTGGATAAGTCATTTGGATTTGATTGCTAACCAGAAAGTTGATGGTTCAAACCCACCAGCTGCTCCAAGGAAGGAAGATGAGGCAATCTACTTCTGTAAAGATTTACTGCCTTGGAATCACAATAGGGGCTGCTATGAGTCAATGGAATTGACTCAATGGCAGTCAGTTTGTTTTTGGTTTTTATTTGGTTGGTTGGTTGGTCCCTTCTGACATCAAGACTAAAGTAAGTCAGACAAAGGCTAGCCATTTTTGCTTCTAAGGAACATTCTGACTGGAGTTCTTCTGAAACAGATTTGTTCATTCTTCCAGCAGTCTGCAGTATTTTCAGGGTTCTTCCCTAACACCACAATTCAAAGACATCAGTTTTTCTTCTGTCTTCCTTATTCCTTGTCCAGCTTTCACATGCATATGAGGTGATTGAAAATACCATGGCTTGGGTCATGTGCACTTAGTCTTCAAAGTCTTAGTCTTCATCTTTGCTCTTTCACACTGTAAAGAGTTATTTTGCAGCAGATTTGCCCAGCACAGTATGTCACCCATTTTCTTGACTACTGTTTCCATAGGTCTTGATTGTGGATCCAAGTGAATTAAAATCTTTGACAACTTCAATCTTTTCACAACCTATTGTGATGTTGCTTATTGGCACAGCTGTGAGGACTTTTGTTTTCTTTATGTTGAGGTATAATCCCTACTAAAGACTGCAGTCTTTGATCTTCATCAGTAAGCACTTCAAGCCTTCTTCACTTACAGCAAGCAAGATTGTGTCATCTGCATATCTCAGGTTGTTAATCAGTGTTCCTCCAATACTGATGCTGTGTTCTTCATCACATAGTCCAGATTCTCAGATTATTTGCTCAGCATACAGAGTGGCTAAGAATGATGAAAGGATACACCACCCTTCCTGATTTTAAACCATGCAGTATCCCCTTGTTCCGTTCAAACAAGAGCCTCTTGGTCTATGTACAAGTACCTCATGAGAACAATTAAGTGTTCGAGAATTCCCATTCTTCACAATGTTATCCATAATTTGTTATGATCCACCCAGCTGCATGCCTTTGCATAGTCAATAAAACACAGGTTAACATCTTTCTGGTGTTCTTTGCTTTCAGCCAAAATCCATCTGACACTGGCAATATCTGTCATTTCATGCCCTCTTCTGAATCTGCCTTGAATTTCTGGAAGTTCCCTCTCAATACACTGCTGCAACAATTTTTGAGTTATTTTCAGGAAAATTTTACTTATGCATGATATTAATAATATGGTTGGATAATTTCCACATTGTTTTGGATCACCTTTCTTTGGAATCGGTTCAAACATGGATCTCTTCCAGTCTGTTAGCTTAATAACTGTCTGCCAAATTTTGGGGCATAACCAAGTAAGTGCCTCCAGTGCTGAATCTGTTTGTTGAAACATCCCAATGGATTTTCCATCAATTCCTGGGGCCTTGTTTTTTGCCAGTTCCTTCACTGCAGCTTGGACTTCTTCCTTCAATATCATTGGATCTTGATCATGTGCTACCTCCTAAAATGATTGAAAGTTGACCAATTCTTTTTGGTACAGTGACTCTGTCTCTTCACTCCATCTTCTTTTGATGCTTCTTATATATGTTTTTCCCACAGAAGCCTTTGGTATTACCATTTGAGGCTTTAATTTTTCTTCAGTTCTTTCATCTTGAGAAATGCTGGGCATAATCTTTCCTTTTAGTTTTCTAACTCCAGGTTTTTGCACATTTCATTATAATACTTTGTCTTCTCAAGCTGCCTGTGGTGTAGTAAATTACCTGATATGGCTTTTCTAGCCATAATCTTTGTAACCCTCACTTTGTCTTGAGCATCTGAGTAGCTGATTGTTAAAGTTAACCACCTGGTATATTTCTGTTGAACCAGCATGAAGCAATCTTCTGGAAAGTTTGCTCTCTCTCAGGTGTATAGAATTCTGATGTTGGGATTGGTTAGTTTGGCCATTCTACCAGGCTAAAAAGGAGCCCTTCTAAAGTCAGAAGGAGTCTCTCTGACTGCTGGCTGAGAAAGACTTGCTGCTGAGAGAAATATGCTGCTGAGAGATATGAGAGAGACATGCTGCTGAGAGAGAGATGTGAGAGACATGCACTGCTGAGAGAGACATTTGCTATGGAGAGTGACTGAGAGAGACTGTTGGCTGAGAGATGACCAGCTGTGAAATGGCCAGCTGAGAGAGACTGAGCATGTTCCTAAACTTCAATTGTAGCCTGTAGTTTACTTAATAAACCCCATAATCTGTGAGTTCTGTGTGGCCACTGCAGCAAATTATCAAACCCAGCAGAGAGGTGGTGGGTGTCACGGGAGGAAAGGTTGTTGTCAAGGTTAGTAAGAGGGCTGAAGGGTGGCAGCATGTCTGGCTTCATAGGAGCAGGTATTGGGCTACTAATCATGATTCTGTTCTCCTCTTGTGTAGTTAGAGGAGGTTAGAAGATGTCACTTCTTTGACCCTTTTGCACTGCCCTTGAAATCTTTTGTTTAGCTCTTTTATTTCATAATTGCTTCCATTCTCTTTAGCTACTCTCTGTTCAAGGGCACATTTCAGAGTCTCTTCTGACATCCATTTTGGTCTTTTCCTTGTTTCCTGTCTTTTTAATGACCTTTTGCTATCTTCATGTATGAAGTCCTTGATGTCATCTTGCAATTAGTGTGGTCTTCAGTCATTGGTGTTCAGTGCATCAAATCTCTCCTTCAGATGGTCTCTAAATTCAGGTGGGATATACTTAAAGTCCTATTTTGATTCCTGTGAAATTGTTTTAATTTTTTTCAGCTTCAATTTAAACTTGCTTTATGAGCAATTGATGATTTTTGGTTCATTGAGTTACACGTATCTTCCAAATATTGACACATTTCGTATATGATATAAATATCATATTTGCTAATATCACTGCCAAATTCACCTGTAGTCTAGGAATGGTCTTGGGAAGTTATCATATTCATAGAAGTGGATATAAATTTTCCAAAAGTATAATTTTCTCTTGGAAATTCTAATTTTACTATTAGGAACAAACATAAGTTGTATTCTTAGAAGTAACTAGAATTACTTAGTTTTTGAAAGAATGTCCGTCAAATGTTCAAGTTTGAATTATCATTGTGTGTCTATCAATTAAGAATCTCCAGTGGTGCAGTGGTTAAGGCATTTGGCTGCTAACCAAAAATTTGGTGGTTCGAACCCACCAGTTGTTCTGTGGGAAAAAGATGAGGCAGTCTGCTTCTCTAAACATTTATAGCCTTGAAAATCCCATAGGGTTGCTAGGAGTCAGAATCTACTTGATGGCAGGGAATTTGGTTTGGTTTAGCCTTTCAGTTGCTCTTCCATGTATAAATGCTACTCAGCTTGAAACTGAGATAATTGCACAAGTGCATTTGTTTGCTACAACCATCCTACTTCAGAATGCAGCCAGATACTTGATAAATATTTCCTACAAAGTAATTAAAAAGGCCCTCAAAAAGATGGATAGACACAGTGGCTACAATGATCGGCTCAGGTATAGGAAGGATCATGAGGCTGACACAGGAGCGGGCAGTGTTTTGTTCTGCTGTGCATAGGGTCGCTGTGAGTCAGAGATGACTGGACAACGCCTAACAACAACAACAACAAAGGATATTAAAAATATGAGAATTAAGGTGTTGAGAGCACTTAAAAATCAATCATTTTTACACACTTATCAAGGAAACTCTTAAGAAAAATGCTCTTTTTTCTTTCTTTCTTTTTTTGATTAAAAGTAATGGCCGGGAGTCATTGTATTATATGTGTCCATTGTATAATACAGTGACTGCTAATACAGTTGGGTATCACTGCCTTAATTTGTGCTAAGGTGTAAAAGTTTTACTCCTCACTATTTTTGTACTATCAGTGCAAATGTCAAACAAATGGAAAAGGCAAAGAACTGTGTATTAGAATTATGAAAATTGTTTGACCTCTGAGTCTTGTGAGCTCCACATACCCTGTGAACCATTGCATTAAAGTATGCATCTTATTTATGGTACAGCAGGATGTTGAAAGATGTTTTTGTATTAACTATTTCTAATCATTAAGCAAATCTAAAGTGTATCATTGTGTTCTTCCCCAGGGTTGTTTTGTTGGCTTTGACCTAGCACATGCAGTTGGAAATATTGAACTCCATTTACATGACTGGGGAGTTGATTTTGCCTGCTGGTGCTCCTACAAGGTACAAACTCATTAATATGTTTGCATCTTTTTCTTTCCACTTGGCATTAATCTAAATGAAAAATTGGATAGGTGAGTTACTTTTTCATACATCTTTCATTTCTGTGTTTTCTGATTTTTGCTAATAGTAATGTTGTTGTTGTTATGTGCCGTCAAGTCGGCCCCGACTCATAGCGACCCCTCCTTGGGTTTCCAAGGCAGTATCACTATGGAAGTAGGATTGCCCAACCTTCCTTCCGAGGAGTGGCTGGTGGGTTTGAACCGCCAGCCGTCTGGTTAGCAGGCAAGTGTCTTAGCCACTATGCTACCAGAGCTCCTGCTAATAGTAATAAAAGTCACATAAAGAAGTATGAAAAAAATTAATTCTGTTTTTTTTCCATTAGAAAAAACGTATTCCTTCTGTGAAAATGTTAGAGGGGTCTAGAGCAAAGGTCTCACATATTTTGAACTTCATTCAAATTGATGAGGTTCTTGGTTTTGTTGTTGATGTTGTGAATGTTCTGCTTATTTCAAGATAATTTTTACAGTGAAGTTGGTATTGACATCTGAAAAAAATATAATTCATGGGGAGCATGGCAATAATGTCAATTTTAGTTTAAGTGTTTTTAAAATATGATTATTTAAACATTTTTATCACCAAAAACTGTAAACGATTGAGCACTGAACTCAGAGAGACCTCAGTGGCAATGCTATTAATTAGTTGGAACAGAATAATCTTCCTAAACCACAGTTTCTTCACTTCTGTGTGGGGATTTGCATATCATTTCTGTCATGGTGTTTTAGGGAATTACTGAGCAAGAGCTTTGGGCGAATGCCATTTGTAGAGATTTTCTTAGTTAAAAGGATAATTTGTAATGTTTACCTTCTTATGGTAATGATTTTTCTACTCTTTGAATATTAATGCTCTGACAAAAAAATTCAAAACCATCAAACATGTATCTAAAATGAGTATTCGCTTTATTAGTACATATAACATGTTGCAAAAAAATTGAATTGCTAGAGTTCAAGGCAATCATATCAATCAGTTTTTCCACTTTAGCAGGTCCAGTATTTTGTCAGATTGTGAAATTAAATTAGCTTGAAAGAATTGGTCTTTACAAAGCCTCCTGTATTTGTTTTACAATGTTGATTTCTTTTCATTTTGTTTTACTTGACCAGAAATGGAATGACTATTTATTTTCAACCTTATAATGTTATTTTTTATTTTTTTTCCCTTTAACAAGGTGACCAAACATTACATCTTACTACAAAAGCTCTAATAATCTAAAATAAAGTTAGTTTTGTTTTAAAAGAAAAAGACAAGTGATTCTATTATTCATTTTTTTGTCATATATTTAGGTAAGCTCATATAATTTAATTTATTTTCAATTTAGTATTTAAATTCAGGAGCAGGAGGTCTTGCTGGTGCCTTTGTCCATGAAAAGCATGCTCATACAATAAAACCTGCGTGAGTACTAATTTCACATTCTTTTTTGGTGATAAATAGATTTATTTGCATGAATAACTTGTTATATTTAAAAAGTTCCTTAAGATGTTATCCAGTAGAAATTGATTATAATTATTTTACTACCCTATTAACAGTGCTGTGCTTTATCAGAAATAAATGCTTCCCAAAGAGTTGAATTGGTTGAATGAGAAATTCAACCATAAGAAGAGAAGCTTCAATACTAAAAATGAGTCACTGCAATCAGGTATAGAAGACGGTTTAATGCAAAGAGACCACTTCAATTTTTTCATAAATGAGACTAGAAAATTTCTGATTCCTTACATTGATGAATAAATCAAAGGCAACCAGAGCTGTGCCTAATAGAGCCTTAAATATGGCATGTCATCATTAAAATTACATCTACCTTTAAAGCTAGAAATGTTACATGATGATCTTGTAGGGAATATCATTTGTCCTTAAAGACTTTACAATCCATGAAAACTGAAGAAGCTGAACACTGAACAACAGACTGACTACATAAAAAGCAATACTTTTTTTATTTTATAGAACTCTTTTCATATTTCAGACCAAGTATAAATGTAACTATAATATACCAACTAATTTACACATTTTTATTTGGCTAGGGAACTCATAAGTGTTTCCTTTATTTTTATTTGGTATTGAGATACAGAAATATTCTGGGAAGGAAAAAAAAGCTTAGCATAGTTGTTCTATTGGAGTTTATATGATGAGGAGACTGCCTAGACTCCTAATAGATAATATAATAATGTTTGATTCATTTTCTGAATCTTCTTAGCCACTGGCTAAGAAGTATAATCTTTACAAGCATCGAAGCTGAATTAATATTTGAGTTGAAGAACCTCATGTTTTTAGGTTCTGTGCACACACATCTTAGGTATTTTAGATAATTTACTAAAGTCCATTTAATCATGACTAAAATTTCTTCAAGATTTTAAAGTTTTAAAATTAAATAGAGCATTTTCTTTAGATAGGTATTTTGTCAGGTAGACATCTTCCTAGAATACATTGCCAGTACATTAGAATTCATCCCATGTCCTGAAATCTCTGAGAAAATTACAAACCATATACTATAAAAATACTATGGATAATTAAAATTTTTATAATGTTTTTCACTGATAACATTTGAACTAGTGTAATTTGTTTCTTTTCTAGACTGTATACATGATATTGCTTGCTTTTCTGTGATGACTTAATATCCTGGTCATAAATGGAGAACACTCCATTTATTTAATCTGTAAGGAGTTCTGATGGTGCAGTGGTTAAAGCACTTAGATGCTAACAGAAAGGTCAGCAATTTGAAGCCACCAGCCACTCTGTGGGAAACAGAGGAGTCATTCTGCTCCCATAAAGATTTAAAGTCTTGGAAACCCTATAGGACAGTTCTACTCTGTTCTATTGGGTCACTATGAGTCAGAATCAACTCTATGGCAGTGCGATTTTGATTACTGTTTAATTAAATTGTAATAGAGACTCTGATGTATTATATCAACTCAGGCAAATTGGTGTATGTTGGGGAGAGTAATTTTTACAAAATCTAGAGAACACAGGAGTTAGAAATTAAGTCTTAATCTTGCAGACTTGGTCTTTGCACTTGATATTTCTTACCCGTCATTTGCCCTTCATGGATTACATGAGGATGGTGGAGTGTTCAGTGTTCACGTGTGCCTCGTTTTGTGGTATCTGAAAACTTTCTGAACCTGTTTAGATAACTGTTAAATTACGCACCCAGGAGAAGATAAATTAGACATTCTTGTTTGGTTATTTGGTTGAGAGATGGACTTTATAAATTTGTATTCCTCATATTCTCTCTTGAACTGACCTTGCAACCTTTTTGGTTCTCTCACTAATTAATGAGTTGAATAAGATCTTTTATGTGTGTTGACTTTATATGTGTATGAACTTTTTGAAAATGATACATCTTTAGCTATTGTGACATTTTAACTATATACCTTTGGCAACTGACAAGACTCAAATCAAGCTTCACTCATTAGAGATCCCTTTACAGGGAATTATGATTAATTTTATTGCTTTGTTTCTTTGTTGTATTTTGTTTTCTCCAATTGTTAAAGCTTCTTTTCATGTGATGTCAAAGTGACTCATTCCAGAGCTGCCAATTTCTAATGTTGACTATATTTAATTTGTGTACTGTATTTAATTAGGAACTCTAATTTATTTGTATTTAATCCAAGCCTTGAGCTCTGGTGACATAGTACTTAAGGCTCTTGACTGCTAAGCAGAAGGCTGGCAGTTCAAACTCACCAGCCACTCCTTGAAAGGACGATGGGGCAATCTACTTCCGTAGTGATACTGCCTCGAAAACCCAAGGAAGGGTCGCCATCACTCGGGTCTGACTTGAGGGCACATAACAACAGCAACAACATATTTAATTAGTGTTAGGGAATTTCATCTATAACCAGGAATAGGATGCAGCAGATTCCTACCAGCCGAGGGCAATTATTTTCAGATAATCAATTCATAGTCCCTGATAGGAAAATAAATGCTTTGCTAAAACTTAAAATTGTATTCTACGCTGTTTTCTGTCACAAGATTCACTACTATTCATAAGGTTTTCAGTGACCAATTTTTTCAGAAGTGGATGGCTTCATCTTTGTTCCTCATTTCTCTTCGTCTGGAAGTCCCACTGAAACCTGTCCACCATGGGTGACCCTGCTAATATTTCAAATATTGATGGCATAGTTCCCAGCATCACAGTAACACACAAGCCACCACATTATGGAAAACTGACAGACAAGTGGCAAATCTGCTGCAAAAGACCTCCTTAAAGTGTTAAAGAGCAAAGATACCACTTTGAAGACTAAGGTACAGTGGACCCAACCCATAGTATTTTCAGTAGCTTCATATACATATGAAAGGTGGACAAAGAATAAGAAAAACTGAAGAAGAATCAATGAACTTGAATTGTGGTGTTGGTGAAAAATACTGAAAATGCCATCAACTGCCAAAAGAATTAACAAAATATGTCTTGGAAGAAGTAGAGCCAGAATGCCCCTTAGAAGAGAGAATGCCCAGACTTCATTTCACCTACTTTGGTAATGTTACCAGAAAGCACCACACCCTAGAGAAAGTTAGCATGCTTGGTAAAGGAGAGAATCAGCAAAAAAGCGGCAGACCCACAGAGAGATGGATTGACATGTGGCTTCAATGGTGAGTCAAGAATAGCAAAGATTGTGAGGATGGTGCAGGACCAGGCAGTGTTTCCTTCTGCTGTCCATAGAGGAGCTATAAGTCAGAGCCTACTCAATGGCACCTAGCAACAAACAACAGAAACAACTCTTTTATCCCTTTATACATCTTCAAATCAAGCACAATCTGCAGGAAGAGTGGTCGAAAGAGCAATAACGAGATAGAAAAGACAGAAAAACCACACTGCCAGAAAAAGATGAATTGCACAGAGATGCAATCTACCACTTGTCTGTCTGTGTGTTATGCTGTGGTAGCTTTCATGTGGCTGTGAGACTGAAGGTTATGCCACTGGTATTTCATATACCAGAATAGTCACCCATGAAGGTGGAGCTTCCAAGCTAAGAGAGACTGGGAAGGAGAATGGGATCAACCAGTACTGAAAATATTGGCCACTGAAAACTTTACAAATAGCAGTTAAATACTGTCTTATGTATTACTAGAAAATGATATGAATAGGTGTGAAATGTCTGATATAAACCAAAATAAAACTCAGAATATGAGCCCCTCAGTTTGGAAGGCACTCAAAATATGAAAGGGGAAGAGCTGCCTCCTCAGAGGATATGTGACTCAATGACATGGTTGGAGTAAAGTTTCTGGGACCTTCATTTGCTGATGGGTCATGACTCAAAATGGGAAGAAACAGCTACAATTATATCCGTTAATAATCTGAATGTAGAATTCATGAAGTATGAATGTAGGAAAATTAGAAGTTGCCAAAAATGGAATGGAATGCATAAAGATTAATATCCTAAGCATTAGTGAGCTAAAAGAAGTAGGTATTAATCATTTTGAATCAGACATTCATATGGTCTACTATGCTGGGAATGACAAATTAAAGAGAAATGGCATTCCATTCATCATCAAAAATAAATTTTGAAGCTCTATCCTGAAGTACAATGCTATCAGTGATAAGATATTATCTATACCCCTACAAGGAGCTCTGGTAGCATAGTGGCTAAGTCACTTGCCTGCTAACCAGACGGCTGGCGGTTCAAACCCACCAGCCACTCCTCGGAAGGAAGGTTGGGCAATCCTACTTCCATAGTGATACTGCCTCGCAAACCCAAGGAGGGGTCGCTATGAGTTGGGGCCGACTCGACGGCACATAACAACAACAACAACAAGGAAGACAGGCTAATACTAAAAAAAAAACAAAGAAAAAAGAAAACTCATTCCCATCAAGTCAATTACTACTCATAGGGACCCCCAGTGGGTTTCCAATGCTGTATATCTTTACAGAACCAGGTTGTAGACTGTCTCTTCTTTCTTCTGTGGATCATCTGGTAGGTTCAAATCACTGACCTTTTGGTTAGCAGCCAAATGCCTTAATCATTACACCTAGAGTTAGAAAAGCAAAAAAAAAAAAAAAAACAAGCTCAACATTTCTCAAGCTGAGGAATTGAAGTTCAAAATCCAAGCCTTGAGTTGCAATATAAAAGGGAGCTCTGGTAGCATAGTGCCTAAGGCACTTGACTGCTAACCAGAAGGCTGGCAGTTCAAACCCATCAGCCACTACTTGGAAGAAAGACGGGGCAATATACTTCCATAGTGATACCGCCTTGAAAACCCAAGGAGGGGTCACTATGAGTTGGGTCTAACTCGACAGCACATAACAACAACAACAACATAAAAGGATTCAGTGGGTAAAATATGAACAATGCAGGAAGCATCAAAAGAAAATGAAAGAAATACATAGAGTGATTGTATGAAAAATAATTGGTCTATGTCCAACTAGGAGGTAGCTTATGATCAACAGACAACATTATTGAAGGATGGAGGCAAAGCTGCACTGAAGAAAGTGGCAAAAAATAAGGCTCCAGGAATTGACAAATACCCATTGAGATGTTTCAACAAACAGATGCTGTGCTGGGGGCACTTATTCATTTATGACAAGAAATTGGAGAGATAGCTACCTGGCCAACCAAATGGAAGAGATCCATATTTCTGTCCATTTCAAAAAAGGTGATACAACAGAATATGGAAATTATCAACCAATATCATTAATATCACACACAAGTAAAATTTTACTGAAGATAACTAAAAAATGGTTGAAGCAGTATATTGACAAGGAACTTCTAGAAATCCAAGCTGGATCAGCTTAGACTAGAATGCGACATGTCATTGCTGCTGTCAGATGGATCTTGGCTGAAAGGAAAGAATACCGGAAAAATGTTTACCTGTGTTTTACTAACTATACAAAGGTATTTGACTGTGCAGATCATAACAAATTATGGATGGCAAGACAAAGAATGGGTATTCCAAAACACTTAATTGTGCTCATGAAGAAACTGTATATCAATAAAGAGGCTGTCATTCAAACACAACAAAGAGACAGTGTATGGTTTAAAATCAG